AGACAACCATATTTTCTTCTCTGCTTAGGGAAAATGTGGTTCTTGTTGGGCTTTTCCTGTGACTGGTGCCATAGAAGGGCAAATGTTCAAGAAAACTGGCAAACTGATCCCACTGAGTGTACAGAACCTACTGGACTGTTCTCAACCTCAAGGCAATAGAGGCTGTAATGGGGGTACTACATACAGAGCTTTCCAGTATGTATTGCACAACGGAGGTCTGGAGGCTGAAGCAACCTATCCATATGAACGAAAAGTAAGTGGTCTTCCTTTTTTTTGTTTGTTTGTTTGTTTGGAGACAGAGTTTCTCTGTATATCCCTGACTGTCCTGAAACTCACTTTGTAGACCAGGATGGCCTCAAACTTAGAAATCCACATGCCTCTTCCTCTCAAGTGCTGGGATTAAAGGCATGTGCCACCACTGCCCAGCATAAGTGGTCTTCCTAAGTTGTTGCTTCAGCTCAGCTTGTAGTGAGTGTCAATTGAAGAGATAATACACTATCTTCAGAGCATGGAATGCATGGTAGAATCTCTTTGTACACTATCAATGTTGTTGTTATGTATTGTTTACTTAAGATTTTGGTGTGATGATATCAGTATACCCTGTTTTTTCCTTTTGTGTACTTGGGGAATATGGAAACAGTTGTACAGATACTTCAGAACTCTGTGGCACACAATTTTCTTATGATTAGGAGGAACTATTGATTGTTATTGAAGATAAAAGAACACATTTTTAGTTCCTAATCATTCAGTATTATTTTTCTTCCCATGATTATTTTTTAAAAATCCTTACTTGGGTGTGTTCATTTACAAAGTGCAGAATGCTGTGGTTCTATCTCTTGTTTCCAGGCAAAAGGTGGAAGTAACTGAGTTTCTATTTTTTGTCTTTTAAAGGAAGGACTATGCAGGTACAATCCTAAGAATTCATCTGCTAAAATCACAGGATTTGTGGCCCTCCCAGAAAGTGAAGATGTCCTAATGGATGCTGTAGCAACTAAAGGCCCCATTGCTACTGGAGTTCATGTTGTCTCCAGTAGTTTTAGGTTCTATCAGGGAGGTTAGTATATTTCCTTCTAGATATGTAGAAAAAAATATGTAACATCCCTATACCATGACCACCACTTATATAAAATATATGATATGAATGTTTGAGTTTCTGTATTTTACTCATCCTCACATAATATATCTAAGTACTGAATTTCACCTTATAATAACCTCAACATGAAAGTTAATATGTTGTCATAACTAATAAAAAAATTTATTGGCTAACTAAATTTTCAACTTTTCTCACTTTAGTGGAAGGTTTATACACTTACAGAGACAAAATATCTGAATTCTAATTATAACAGAGCCTTTAAATTAAGCAATTTCTGTCCTATAAGTTTAACTTAACATGAGAGTCTAGTAATAAAACTGTGCAATATCAAGAAGTCATCTCATATGCTTGTAGACCACAATTGTCAACAAATATCACTACTTTGAATTTATTCAGTTTTCAGTAAAGCTATATGTATGCCTATGTACACACACACACACACACACACACACACACACACACACACACACATTCTTTTGAACAATTCATGAAGCTTATTATTCTAGGGAAATTTATGTGATTTCATATGATTTCAGAGATCTTTGAAAATGCTTTCCTGTTGTTGGTGGCAGTGCTCACTGCCATGTATTTTTTGTGTCTCATGTCAGCTTCCATTTTATTTCTCAGGTATTTACCATGAGCCAAACTGCATCAATTCTGTGGCCAGTTCTGTGAATCATGCAGTTCTGGTGGTTGGCTATGGATTTGAGGGAAATGAAACAGATGGCAATAACTACTGGCTGATCAAGAACAGGTATAAATTCCCTAAAACTCTGTATTTAAAATTCTAGCAGCTGGAGAGATGGTTTAGGCAACTCGTGATACTGAGGAGTAGATATTTTGCTTTCCCTAATACTGCTGTTATATTGACCTCTTGCCAGTAATTGTAATATGT